TGAGCCCTGCTCCTCTTCCCTGAGGGCCTCTGATTTTCATTTACTTCACTACCTCACAGACAAACGTGTGGTTTATTGCAGCATCCCACCCAGCAAGTATGAAGTATCTGCACACAGGAATGGCGAGCGTGGCTTCAGATGCAGTTGGCAATGGTTGGTGGGACTGTGGCTGGAGTGCTGAAGGTTTAAAGGTGCTGAGCGCCTAAGCCCCAAACACACGCGTGTTCACTTAATGTTGAGTGTGGAAATTGTTCCCAGAGATGTGGAAACCAGGGTGGATGAATTACTGCATTGCCAGGCAGAGAAACTCTCCTATCTGCCTGCATGTTTTGGGTTAGGCTGGCCTGGCTCCAGCGAGCTTTCCTACAGCCCCTCTGAAGCTGGTCATAGAGATCATCTTGTCCTGCTGACATCGCCTCCAGCACTTGTGCTATCCCTTCCCTTCAGCGGCACTGATTTATTCCAGCCAAGGCTGGAATACTCAAAGGGGTAATTCTGTGAGTTAATTTATCAGAAAAGTCTCAAAGGACCTCAGGAGGCTGTACATTGAATTTTGGTGGTGGGATGAAGACCGTCACTTATTGTGAAGGGGATGATTATCAGTGCATTAGAGAACTTGCAGTAGGATCGTTAGTGTAAGCAGCAGGAGGCTGGTGGGTGAGGGCAGCTTGGGCATCCATTCATAGGTGAGCTGCCGAAAAAGGCCACCCCGAGGTGAGCACAGTGCTGCGGTGCTCCTGCCCCTTGAGGAGATGTGTCCTGGCATGGACCAGCTCCCCATCATAGGAGAACAGGCACAGATGGAGGGTTACCACACCCCAGGGGAGTTGAATCCATGTGTCTGCTCTGCCACAGAAATTTCTGGCTAGCCTTGACTGAGTCATTTAGGGCCAGAGATGTTGGGTTGCTGGGCACTCGGACCCTCCTGCCTTAGTGGAGCATCACGCAGAATTGTAGAATCATAGAATAGTCTGTGTTGGAAGGGACCTTTAAAGGTCGTCTAGTCCAACCCCCTTGCAGTAAGCAGGGATGTCTTCCACTAGATCAGGTTGCTCAGAGCCCCGTCCAGCCTGGCCTTGAATGTTTCGAGGGATGGGACATCTACCACCTCTCTGGGCAACCTGGTCGAGTGTTTCACCATGCTCACAGTAAAGAATTTCTTTCTTATATCTCCTCTCTTTTAGTTTAAAACCATTACCCCTTGTCGTGTCGCAACAGTCCCTGCTAAAAAGCCTGTTCTCCTCTTTCTTGTAGGCCCCCTTGAAGCTCTGAAAGGCTGCAATAAGCTCTCCCCAGTGCCTTCTCCTCTCCAGGCTGAACAGCCCCAACTCTCTCAGCCTGTCCTCACAGCAGAGGTGCTCCAGCCCTCGGATCCTTGCTGGGGCCTCCTCTGGCCCCGCTCCAACAGGTCCAGGTCTGTCCTGTGCTGAGGGCTCCAGAGCTGGATGCAGGACTCCCAGTGGAGTCTCAGCAGAGCAGAGGGACAGAATCCCCTCCCTCGCTCTGCTGCCCATGCTGCTGGGGATGCAGCCCAGGGTATGGTTGGTTTGCTGGGCTGCGAGTGCACATTGCCGGCTCATGTCCAGCTTTTCATCCCCCAGTATCCCCAAGTCCTTCTCGGCTGGGCTGCTCTCTATCCCTTCATTCACCAGCCTGTACTGATATGGGGGTTGCCCTGACCCAGGTGCAGGACCCTGCACTTGGCCTTGTTGAACCTCATGAGGTTCACATGGACCCACTTGTTGAGCTTGTCCAGGTCCCTCTGGATGGCATCTTGTCCCTCAGGCGTGTCAACCGCACCACTCAGCTTGGTGTAATCTGAAAACTTGCTGAGGGTGCACTCAATCCCACGGTCTATGCTGTTGACAAAGACATTAAACAGTACTGGTCCCAGCCTCCTGAGGGACTCCACTCCTCACTGATTGTCATTGATTAGTCCGGTTTGGCTGAAGCCTTTATGCAGATGTGGACTAGATGCTGGGCATACCTTGCTTTGGTGGGGTCTGCATATTGTATTGCCATCTATGTTTGATGTTTAGTTGGCATTATTTATCCAAATTTTGATTTTGCAGCTAAATTAATTCATTTTTTAGGAGAGTTTTGGCCACCTAAAGGTCTAGTCTGCTCTGGTTTTTAGTATTTCATCTGAATGCCTCCAGATGGAAGTCACTTTAAAAAAAAACAATTAAAATGCAGGAAACCTTTTCACATTATCATTATTTTAAAGCACCTCAAACTTGCCCAGCAAGGCTTCACACGACCATTGTGGAAGCTCTTGCTAATAAAATTAGTTGTTCATGGATGGGAAAAGTAATATCCAACAGCATCAGATTCAAGGAAATATTTGGCAAAGATTTTGCAGTTCCCAGCAAGCACATCCATATCTGATCCCCAGCTGAGCTGGACTGATGAATGCTGATGTTCAGCTAACAAGGTCTGGTACTACTAATGGGGTCTGGCCTGGAGGTGTGCTATGGGAACAGCATGAGAAAGACACCATTGATGGAGTCAGGGCTGAGAGCTCACCTGTGACCTTAGCTGTCTCCCAGAGCTGGTCGGGATGCAGGACCTGTGTCCTCCCACTGCCCACAGCTCCAGGTGAGCACTTTTCTTGGGAATTTCTCTTCATTCTGCACCATGCCCACCAAGATCACAGCCCTGCTCCTGCCGAGCCCTGAGGTGGCCTGTTCCAGCTCTGTTCCTGCTCGCTGGCCAGCCTTGGATGATCTCATTTCATCCCTCCATCTCCATGTCCCACCAAAGGAGGTTCACACTGCTTCTCTGTCTGGGTGACATGCAGCTAGACGGGGACAGAATAGGCTGTTTAAAGGCAGATCATACTTCTGACCTCCCAACAGACAGTGGAACAGCTGAACTTGCTTTGTATTAAGGAGGAAATGCTGTGGGCTGGAAAAGATGCTAAAGGAAAAAAAAAACCAAAACCTAAACCCCTAAGTGCTACAGTCTGTTATTACTTCCAAAGCTTTGTTACAGATTTTAAGCCTTTAGGGATGGTAAGCACACATGTCCTGCATCGAACGCTGCCCTCCATCCCTGGCGGGGCTGTTCCCAAAGACGCACAATAGGATGCATCCAAATAATTACCCTGTCGTGTTAATGATGTGTGCAACAGCCCTGCTGGGGGGCTGGTGGAGCTCCCTCCCCGCTTGTTCAAGAAGGCACTTGGATGGGCCGTGTTGGCTTTGGCTTGCGTAAGCTTTAATCTAAAGTTGGAGATGTTTTTAGCTGATCTGTGTTAATGTTGGGTGGAATTAACATGCATACGGGGAGACCACGTGACTCCCTCCGACCTCCCTCCCCCCCCTTTTTTTTTCCCATCGTTTTAACGGATTCCTGCCAAATCAAGCCATCATCATCAGCAGGTAAAACCCCCGCACCTGGGGCAGGAATGGGGAAGGGGGCACGGGGCAGCCCTGGGGGTCCTGGTGGCCACCTCTAGCCAAGGGTCACCTGCTGTGGCTTCTCCAGGACTGGGGTTCAGTGGCAGGGATGGTTTGCGTGCAGCAGAAAGAGCGAAGGACATCATCACTAGCACTTGTTGTTGGGTTTCTTGTGTCTCTAGCATTAGCAAAGCTCGCTTCTGCTCCACCGCTCATGCATCAAATCGGGGATAAAAGTTGATCGTATCAAGTAGGCATCTGCTTTACCAAAACCTCTGTCCTGATGTCGCGTTTCAGCCTGGTTTGAGCTGTTTCTGTTTGCTTGTGGTGGAGTTTCCTTGATGATTTACTCAAAATACTCTGAAAATCCTGCATGGTAAACTGAACCAGTATGGGCCCAGGTCTGTGCTGACTTCCTGGGACGCCTTCAGGCTCCTTTTTCTGACAGCCAGATGTGGCCAGTTGTTTTTCCAGTCTCTTGAATACATGAAAAATTGCAAGAATATCAAGGAGGGGTATTTTTAACAAGCAGAAAAAGCTTCCAGTACAAATCTTAGAGGTGGGTGTTACTGGCTTTGCAGATAGCTTCATATTTTGAGAGGTATTTTGGATGCTTGCAAAGAGAAGTCCTGAAGGTTTATTCTTCTCCCATGTCCCGCTGGACTCAGAGGAGCCTGTTGTGCCCCATGGTGTTGTCCCTCCTCAGCTGTATCCAGATTTGGGATCCAATATAGATTCAGAAACTTCTCTTGCAACTTAAATCCTGGGAAGTGGAGCGTTTTGGGAGCCCTCCACCCCTGGTTTCCCACCTGGCACACCTGGCTCTCGGTTTGTCAGATCAAGGTCCACCCATCCTCACGGGGGTGACCACCATGGGCCCAACTCAAGGAGGAGAAGCGATGGTGGTCCCAGCTTTGAAGTCCATGGTCCCCAGCTAGGGCAGAGTGGAGCTTTCAGTGTCATTTATTTGGGACACCCACCTTGCTGGACAGTGTATAGGGGGAGACTGTGGGGCAGTTGGGGCAGTTACTTGGCACAGGGGAAAGTCATGTGTATGATGCTCTTGCACCTGCTTTGGCTTGTGATGAAAAGCTCCCACCCTCAACCTGGCAAGGCGGGGACTTGAAGCGGCTCGGCAGATCTTGCATCCCCCATTTCCAGACCCCCTGCATTACAAAACCTTGGGAGCGGATGGCGCCCGGCTGTCTTCATTACAGGCTGTCTGTATTTGTGAAACTGGTTTATTCCCAGAACATTGGTCCGAGGTCTGATCTCATTTCCCGGGAGCTGGACAGCTGTCCAGCCCCGTTAATCTGGGGTAATGAATCACAGACAGGTCCATCAGATTTGCTGGGTGGGGAGGATGGCATCCAACCCTGCACATATTCTCTCATTTATCTGTATAAACTTTGGAGGGAGTGGGAGGGGGGATTTTTGCCAGTGTGAGCTTAATATGCGGGACTGTGTCCCTCAACCTGCGTGTCTACATCATTCCATGAGCAACCTCTGGGGAAGTGGGAAGCATATCATTGTGCCCTTGTTGGTTGGGCGTGTTTCTTTTAGCCTGTGAAAGAAAAATGCCTTTCTGTTGTCTCCCAGGACACTCATGGGACCATATGGCATGGATCGAACCGTGCACTGCTTTGATTTCTACGACTGTGCAAATGGACTGGGTGAGTACTGAACCTCTGCAAGGGACACCAGGGTGGGCTGGGGCAGCTCAAACATCACCCTGGTCCCCAGCACCTGTGTTGTGATGTGCCTCCCTATGCGAAGTCTGATATCTTACAGAAATACCAGTTCTTGTGCCTGCCTGTGTTGAGCATCTGATAGAACCTTTTGCAGCTGGGACGTGAAAATAAGATCAAAATCCTGACAAATTCCCTGTTAATGGTGACAGCTGCAGTGCTGAGAGCTGTGCAGGAACCCAGGGCCAGAGCCCCTCCCATGAGCAGGAGAGGGGAGGCTTTTAGCAATTTTCTGAATTAATTAAATTAAAATTTAAAATAAAAAAAACCCCTTCAAATAAAATAATAACAAAAAATAAATAACATCCCAAGCACTTTCCAACTGCCTGCCCCTGCCCCACCACAGGTAGGGTCCCACTGGGAAGCCACTCCAACGGGCAACACAGGCCGTTGCAGCTCTCGTGGGGACCGGGCTGTATGAGTTGTTTTTGGAAAGTTTGGCCCACGGGTAAGGGCATGAGCACTGAGCAAGTCAGACGTCTTTCCATGGTGCTCTGAACATCAAAGCACAGAACAGAAGGGAAGAGAGATGGTCATATCCATCAGAACATGAGAAATAGCCACGGTTCATGCAACTCAGCCCGAAAGGATTCAGTGTAGCATCTCAACTGACCTCTGTGTATCCAGCAGCATAAACACTGGTGCTCTTTCATGGTCTTTATAAAAAATTGCAATCTTGCAAGAGGATTTCTCGAGGTCCACCACAGTCTCCTCCATATTTTTTAATTGCAAGTGTAGCCCATCATCCCACAGGGCAGCTACAGGCCCCTTGGTGAGGCCCTTGGGTGACCATTTGGAGACCCCTCCTGAGAATTCAAACTCTTCAGAGAAACAAATTCAGGTTTTCTGAGACCTGAGATTAATTTATACATTCATTATTGTCTGTTTCCATCTCTTGGGTAATGGGGCTTTCTGCTGTGGAGGAAAGGCTTTGCTGACTCTTCTGGTCTTCTGTTCATGATGCTCACAGGAGCTCAGAGAAATGTCTTTGCTCAGTGAATATGGCATTTTAATCTCCAGAGGTGGATTTGGTTCAGTTGATGGGATTTTAGCTGTTGGGTTAGATTAGCTCGTTAAAGGAGGAGACCCAGAAAAGCCTGATCGGGCTGATGCTGACCTCTGGAAGAGGCATGTAGATGTTACAATCCACTTCTAGCCACTTTGCTGGGTCCCAGTACTCCTCCTTTTCCTCCAGTTGGTGGCTACAGGGTCTTGCAGACCCTCTGTGTGCTGCAGGAAGGTATAACGATGTGGATTTTCTAATACTGTCATCAGCTTTGTTCATCCTCTCTTGAGAGGCTTGAAACACCCAAGACTAGTGGTTGTCCTCCAGAAATCATCCCTCTCTGCTGAGAACCAAGGGGTGCTTGCAGGACCCCTGTGTCTGCCATAGGTGTAGCTGATCAGAATATGTTTTTTTGGGGAAAAATATGTGCCTCTGTGAGCTGCTTGTGTTCAGATCTGGGTGTTATTCCAGTAGACTTTCTTTAGGGTAGCATCAACCTGCTCGATGCTGGCGTGGCAGGTCAGCGTTTGGCCCCGGGTTTGTTGCTCTGTGGCTTTAGGTGGAAACCCACATGTGAACCTCAGCAGAAGTTCAAAGGGGTTACCTGGCAGCTCCTAAAACCTGAACTTTGAATTAAAGAATAGCCATCAAAGGGAAGTGCTGATTAAGAAGCATTTCTCAGAAACACCGAAATCCCATTATCTTGACCTTCATCTTCTTAGGACAGGGCAGTGAGCGATTCACCTCCAATCTGTCCCTTCCTCCAGACAGAAAAAGCTGTCCGGGGCTGCAAGATCAACAGAGGGATTAAGGGAAATGTAATTGAACATTGCTAGCTTAGGCGTAAAGCGGGTGGCCTCTCTCTGTGCAGACCGCCAGGAGTGTGGCACGGCGGCCGGTGGGGTCAAGATGCGCCGGAGATGATTACAGTTGGGCTAAACAACCAGATTAGCCAGGACACCCCTTGACCCGTGGTATATAGGGAGCCAGTAGCAGGTGAGATTCTAGCCTGAGAAGTTGAGAACTGAGACGCTAGCATTAGCGGGAGCGGGATTAGATGCGGAAGAGAAGCTCGAGGGTCTTGAAGAAATTTATAGAATCACTAAGAATCTAAAGAAAACACCATCTTGGTCCATCTAACCTGTATGCCCACCTGGAGTTTCCCCAAAAACATATATTCTGCAAAACAGAAAATACTAGGGACAGGGGCATCAACTCCAGGACCTTTGCCAGAAAGGAAAGATTAAAGAGAGAGATCCAAAATAGGCTAGATTATCTGGCCCTAAGTATGACTTAATAAGCATTATACCGGGACTTTGATGCTGTGATAATTAAAGAGCCGTTATTTACCTACACTTGGTACCACATATAAATTTGTGTTTATAAAATATGAAGACTCCCAGGAATTCTACCACCACAGTCTTTGATGATTTGTGTTTGTTGCAATCAGTCCCGGGATGTCCCATGGCTCAGTCCGAGCCCCAGCAGGGGTGAGGCCTTCTTCCTCCTCCTCCTCCCCACCCTGGTGGGCACTCCCTGCGGCATCTCTCGAAGGGCAGGACTGGCATCCACAGTACCTCCATGGCAAGGAGATCGGTGAGAGGGCGGCGTGGGCAGAGTCTGGCAGCACCCAGCTTGTTTGCCAACAAGGGAGTTAAAAATCAGGGTTTTTTCCTCCCCCTCATCAAAGTTTGAGTGTGTCTGGGAGCAATACTGTGAGTAATCGCTGATTTTAATAACAAGATCGGATTTTCTCCTGACATCGTTGGGGATAAAGGGGGATTTGTAGATACTTCAGCTATATTAAGCCATTATTACAATTGATTTGCGGACACAAAAGGGAAATGAGTCATTATTGATTTGATACCTTGGCAAAGGAGCCTGTCACAAGTAGATCCCATTGGGCTGCTGGGCGATGCTAAAGCTGCGCCTCTTCTGAGATGCAGATTTTTACATGAGTTTTCTAAAGTATTTTATCATTCCTAATTAATTCATGTTCTGGTGTAAAGAAAGACGTATTACAACTTCTTCAGCCATCACCTTGGCTTAAGCCAGACTTCCAGTGTCCTCCCCATCCAGGGGAACTGATGGGGCTTTGCCTCTGCAGGACCCTCCCATGCCAGTGGTTTCCCAAACCCATCCCCAGCGTAAGCCTGCTCTCCAGGGTCTCTCTGCCAGCTGGTGGCAAAGCCCACCAGCAGCCACCCCAGCCCGGTTGCGAGCTAAGATTCTTTCCAGCTGAGCCTCCTTGGTGATAAGCAGGTTTTATCTTCTGGCAGTGGGCTTTGGGGCTGCAGCATCTCTTCCCCACTTTGGTCCGCAGGCACCTGACCTGTCCCCATGCCTTGGTGAGGCTTGCACCACTCGGAGATATATTTTTTGGGCAATATTTCAAATTTTAGTGAATTTCTTAAAAAAATGCAATGGAGAGCAGCATTGGCACCTTTCCCTGAGGTGTTTTGCCATGAGTTCCAAGTGCCATCAGTAAAACAGCTCCTCCTGCCTGGGGGTTGTATGGTTTAATGCATCAAGCCCAGGGAATAAACTCCAGCACTTGGATGGAGCTGGGGTTTCGTGCTTGGGAGCAGCAGCCACTGGAACATATAGGAATGAAATGAAAAACTGTGATAATCTGGTTTTAATCACAATTTTAATGTAAAAGTGACTTGAGAGAC